ATTAAAACTTAGAACAAAACTTATAAGGTGGAGTAGAAAATTCCTACCTCGAAGAAATAGCCCCAAAAGAGAAGATGGAGATGAAGACCCAAACTCCAAAGTGCTCCAAACTACCAACAATTCAGATTAAAACGAAGCTCTCGACTCCCTCTATCTTTTTAATGAAGGATCTAGGGTAGAAACACACCCTAAGTGGATCAAATCTAAGAGAGAAGGTGAGCAGGTTGAGAGAGAAGTCGGACCTTAGGGTTTGGAATCTAAAAGAGGATGAAAAACTGATTAAAAACCCACTGCTGTCTAAATAAACTAGTCAGGCTCGCTCGAGCGAAGACTTGGTCGCTCGAGCGACCAGACACAAGAAATCCTCACTCAAGCGAAGAAAAGCTCGTTCGAGCCAAGAATGCAAAGCTACAGGTCTATACTAGACGCAGTCGCTCGCTCGAGCTAAGAAAATCTGGCTCGAGCCACCAAACACAAAATACAACCCTCGCTCGAGCGACCAAGTACTCGCTCGAGCGACCAACCCAAAAACTGGACAGCAACACTTGGTTTCCGAACCCAACCAACCTGAAACAAACCTGCCCAACACATCCTATAACTCCAAATGAGAAAATAAAGAACGACAACAACAATTATACAATGACAGAATCTACGGAACCTAAGTCCGGATACAATAATCAAATGGGAAAAGACCGGGGTCGCTATACATGAGAAGGACAATGTCAATGTCACATAATATGGATAATTCTTTATCTTTCTTCAAAATTCCATTCCTTCTTCTCAAATAGGTCACTTGTTGATTGCTAGTGCTCTCTAATCTCTTTATCTTTAACTTAACCCTCCCCATATTGTAAACAAATGAGAAAGACCCATAAAACACCAATGCAACTGATGCATCTATGTTTGGCCAATCCTAACCTACTTCAATTCTCCAAGCCAAACACTTGTCTAACAATAGAACAAATTAATTCCAAGAAGCTCCAAAATGACCCTGGACACAAAGGGCTGAGATAAATTTTTTAGTTAAGAATTAAGAAAAAATGATTTAGTTCACTTTTGTTAACGCTTTAGAGCTCAACCTTTTTTAAGAAATTTAGTTAATGCTTTAGAGCTCAACCTTTATTGTTAAAACCTCACTTTTGTATAATATAAACTGGCAAAAATGTCAATAATCCTTATTTGCAATCTTTCCAAAAATGGTGCAAGTTAAATTAGATGGGAAAAAAACTTAAATCAAAGGACACCAGGGTAGCTAAGATGATTTAGTTCTATGGATATAGATAAGATGGTAGCATTAAACGATCCATAGGGAAAAGTTGTTACCAATGGTCCAAAGATGCAGAAGTAATTGTGAGGAATTTCATTAAAAGTAATAGTAGTCAGAAAACTATGAATTTGTGGGTGAATGTAAATTGTATAACTTTAAATTGTTTGAAGTTTATGTGTCATGCATATTCACAACTACAAGTACTTGAAGAAATTGTTCATACACGAAGGAAGAAATTGAAATTAATATCTGAATGGCTAGCAGATGGGAACGATTATGACCAAATGATGTTAAAAAATAGTTCCATTTTGAACTCAAAATTATATAGATAATGAAAATTACAAAAGGAATAGAGGAGCGAAAAGGGGGCCTTGTGATTACTGGGGTGGAAATGTTAGGGATATCATTATCTAATATCAGCCATGTGCATCCAATTCAATTCAAGTTAAATTCAATAATATGTTCCAAAGCCTCTCTTGCCTTTCACCAAAACCCAAGTTTTTTTTTTCTCTGTTTGTGTTTTCTATGATTATTATTTATTACTTTTTCTGAAGTTTTTAAGTTCCATGCAAATGACTTTTTTTTTTCTTTTCGTATTCATATTGCAAAATTTTGGAGCATTCTTTGTATCACATAATTAGTATGAAATCCCGTAGGCCTCAAAAACTAGAGAAAAAGGCAAGTTGCGTTCCATGTGAGCAGAACTCATAGGCATGTTCTTTCCAACAAAATAATTCCCTTACTAAATAAAATTATAATAATTTTAACAACAATTAAAATAAACAATGTTTTTTTTACGAAGGTAGGTCCGCAGATAATGTGGCCTGTAGTATGTGCTTCTCAAATTCCTTGTACTATGCTAAAAATTATTATGCTGCTACATATGGACAGGTTATAGTATCTTCGACTATGCTCAAATATTATTGTGCTGCTGCACATGGTGGTCAACTATGAAATGCAAAACAAACGTGTAAAGATGTTCTTTTTCCCCTAATTTGATCACAAATCTATGGAACACAACAAAAGATTTTATCAACAAAACAATTTGCAGGGATAATTAATTTTAAGCAGGGATTTCTTGCTAAATATATATTATAATACATTTAAACCACTACATGACAAATTTATTTTGTAATTGCAACAAACACACTATTCAATCAATTAAACAAACACATAAACAAGAAACCCACATCGAGGACGACTATATCATACTTACATTTGAGCAGAAATGGAGAGAAAAATTAGGGCAGAGATGAACTGTCCATCTTCTGATTTCGTTTCTGAAGCGTTAATGTGCCTCGCCGCCTGGTCTTTCTCATCGCAATCAGCCTGTTCGAGATCGCCATTCTGACGAGTCCGATGATAGTCCTTCGTAGACAAAGGTTCTGAAACAATTGAGGGGAGTGTAGGGTCTGGATTTGAACATATGGCTTGTGGAGGGATTGGAGAAGATCGACGGTAGGGTTAGGGTTTTGGATCCGACGACGAGAGTGGAGAAGACGAAGAAGACGACTGGTGAAGAGAATAGGAGAAGAGAGAGAGGGCGGTGAGGGAGGAGGTGTGGTGGCGGCACCAGAGCCGACGACGTAGGAGGCGAAAGAGATAAAAGAGAGGAGAGTGAGAGGGAGTGTTAGGTTAGGGATTGGGGATTTGAGATCGTGAGAAACAGGGGGGGAGCGGGAAAACGAAAGAAATTTTTTTTGTTATTTTTTATTTTTTTTTGTAGTTAATGATTTTTTTTTGATTTTTCAATTTTTTTTAGGTTACAAGGTTGAAAATTTATTTGTTTCATTTTTATTTTATTAAAAAAAATTTATTATTTTTTTTTATTTGGTAGAAGTAGGGGTAACATTTTAATTAAAAATATTTTCTATTAAAATAAAGTTAATTTTTTGTGTGCGGGAAAATGAAAAGAAATTTTTTTTGTTAATTTTTTTTTGTAGTTAATGATTTTTTTTTTCAATTTTTTTTAGGTCACGAAGGTTGAAAATTTATTTGTTTCATTTTTATTTTACTGAAAAAATTTATTATTATTTTTTATTTGGTAGAAATAGGGGTAATATTTTAATTAAAAATATTTTCTGTTAAAATAAAGTTAATTTTTTGTGGTCAATGGAAAATATTTTTTTGCAGCCCATTTTTTTTTGTTACTATAAATCATGAACTAATTTTTTGTAGTAGAGGAGAGAGTGCGGTAGTAGTGGTGAAGGTGGTAGATAAGAGGTAATGACGAAGGAGATTAGTGGTGAAGTTGTGGTAATGGTAGAGGTAGAGGAGATGGAGTGATGGTGGTGGAGGAGAGGTAAAGGTAGTAGTAGTGGCAATAGTGGTGGTGGTGGTGGTGGTAGTGGTGGTAATGGAGTGGTGGTGATGGTGGTAGTAATGGTAGTCGTAGAAGTGGAGTGGCAACAGTGGTAGTAGTGGTGGTAGTGGAATGACATTTGCAGTAGTGGTGAAGGTACTAGAGGAGATGTGTGGTGAGAGAGAGAGATGAGTGAGAGACAGATGGAGAAAAGAGACAGAGAGACATAGACAGAGTGTTAAGCGAGAGAGAGACAAAGTGGTCGCTAAAAGTGCATTTTCTTATAGTGGATCAATAAGTCCAGAGGGAGCTTGGTAAGTAGAAAAGAGGAGAGGGAGAAAGTGAGCACGACGAACACATAAACATGTATTTGCAATTGATCAAAGAAACATAAATGTGTACTGACACAAAATACTTTTCAAATTACCAAATCTGGAAATTAACATATGCCCAGAACGAAATATGGTGGCTAAGAGAGAAAGAGGAAGATATTAGGGCACGATGGCAGGAAGCAAGAGAGGATGAAGATGGACAACAAAAGCAATGGAAAGCGGGCTTACCGGTAGGATTGGCTGGTGGTAGCGATGGGTTGTGCGAATGTGGGGACTGTGGCGACGGAATGGGGTTCCGTTGTATTCAGAGAGACGGTGCCAACGGTGGCATGGTGCCGTAGTGATTACAGGGCGGTGAAGGTGTGTGAGGTAGAGATTGCTAAGAGAGGGAGTCGATTTGTGAGAAATTAGGGCAAATAATAAGATCTAGAGAAAGAAACAAAAATCAACTTACCTGGTCAGAATGAAATACTCTAAGTTCGTGAATCGGCGGTGTCGACTTTGGATTTCGGGCGGTACAACGGTGGAATAGAGCAACAAAATCGTCTGTGAGGGAGGAAGAATGAGAATAAGTAGTCGTGTGAGAGAGAGGAAGAGAAAGAGACATGAGAAACGTAGGAGGGATTCGGGGCAAAACTTGGAGGGTCCCAAATTTTGAGAGGGAATTTCAAATTAACGTAAAATTTTGGTAATTACACACATTATACGATTAATTAGACAACAAATTAATTAAGAAAATTAAATTATTGTTAGCTAATTTAAATGATAGTGACAATCACTTTTTTGCCAATGAATCCATTGATGACATCTCTCTTTAACTCGTAAGTTTTCCATTTACTCGCTAGTTCATCTTTGCCTTTAATTTTGTAATTTTTATTTCTTTAGTAGAAATTTCACTTTTTTAATAATTTCACCTAAATATTAAGGTTAAATTTCACTATTTGAAGATAATGAAGTTTTACTACTTGAAATGATGGTATGTTTTATGATAACGATGACAAGGATAATAAAGGTGGTGGTAATAACAATGGTGGCTTCATAATGGTGGTGGTGGTGGTTCTGACAGTGACAGTGACGGTGATGATGGTTGCAGCAATATTAGTGATGATTGTAGCAATTGTGAGGTTATAATGATGTATGTTGATGCTTGTGTATAAATATTTACAAATTCAATTAGCATTAAATAATTATGTAATTTTATGTGAGAAATTCGTCGTAATTTAAATGAATTTTATCCTACAAACTCAAACTCAATTATAATTGGATTCGAATGGATTGGACAAAGGGTACCGCCTCTTACACCAACACCGCAAAATTATGATAATAAATTTTAAATAATATATACTTTGCAAAAAAATATAAAAATTATTGTTTAGAATTATCTTCACACTATGAAGCATGCGTATAAAAATTATCATTTAGAATTATCTTGACGCTATGAATTATCTTCAAACTAGTTACACACTATAAGAAATTGCACATTTGAAAACTAAATTTTTAATTGTTAAAAATCATTTTTAGTCGTCTAAAATTATTTTAGTAGCCAAAAAATATCATTCGTCGACTAATAATTTAGTCGCCGTAATTTTTTTTAAAAATTTATTTTGAACTTTTATCGACTAAATTTTTAGTCGTAGATAAATTTTATCACTACTATGTTTTATTTAGTGATTAAAATATATAGTCGCCAATTCTTTTTTCCATTATCGGTGACAAATTAATTTTGTAGCCAAATATCTAATTGACTCCTTTAGCTAGCAACCAAACTTTTTTGTAGGCAAAAGATTGTAGCTTTTTTGGTGACTAAATGTTTAGTCGTAAAAAATATCGAAGAAGCCTTTATTTCCTTTTGGCTACGAATTGGTTAGTCGCCAACAACTTCACTTTTTTTAGCTACTAAATGTTTAATCATAAAAAACTTTCTTTAGTTTTTATTTTTATTTTTATACATATATATATATATTTATTTCGCCACAACCTGTATGTATTCTATTCACATACAGAAGCTACATTTCACACACACCAACCATGAACAAATTAGGTGGAGGGGGCGGGGGGAGGTGCTATGGCAGAAGGGTCAATAAACATGACAACAATACCAGATACATCTACCTTGTTTACTAATGATTCTAATCTGGTTCATTCCTCAGCCCCCAACCCTTGCCCAAATCTTGACTCATACATAAATTTGAGTAAACAACCACTAAAACCCCTCCACTCCTTTACTCAAACCTATACCAACTTGAGTTTCACTCAAATTTTGACTCAAATCAAGGGAGACTCATTTCCATTACTCAAATTTATATCCAATCAAAACTTGACACATAGGTGCATTTACCCAAAATTTCCAAATTCTCCTTTACTCTGACTCCTGGCATCCACTCAAAACTTAACACTAGGTAATTTTATTAAAATTTGATTTTATCAATTAGAGTGTTTCATATCAAATGAAGCCTTTTACTCAAACTTCTAGTCAATTTATTTATGTTTATTTTTATCTTTATTGATTTTTTTTTGCTGATTACAGAGTGATTCTTTAAAACAAAACAAAAAAAGAAAAGAAAAAGAAAAGGTGTAATATCATTTAATTAATTCAAGATTCACAACTAAATCAACCCAAACTATAAGAACTAGATCAGTAATATAATAAGCACAAATCTCAACAACCCATTAATATTTCTTCAAAAATCTGAACAATCAATAAAAAAACAATTTTAATAATAATAAAAAAAAGCAATGGAAACAAACTTACAGAAAAGGGAAGCTGAGGAGAAGCAAAAGTTGACAACAAGTGAGGGTGGTGATGGTTGAGCTGCCTTCTAAGTAAGATTGGAGCCGAAAACAAGGGTGATGATGCCAACCCCATAGCCATATCCCTCTACTCTTTTACTCTAAAAATGGTTGCAAAATTCAACTGTAGAATGGAAAAAACAAACAAGTGGAATTGACCTAAACTAACTTAAGAATATACATCATTCTATCCATCAAAGAGCAATTATATTGACCCAATTGCATGTTATCAATAAGAGACAACTAATAATCTCTGCTTTCTAAAGAACTCAATTGAAGGAAAACAGTCAGTTAACAATGTATCTTCCCAATTTCTTAGGTTTTCTTCATCAATTACAAAAGTCAAGAAACGATGGATCTTGATACCTGCTTCTGTGGGAAAAGAAGTAGCATTTGAAACAAAAATTTCCCAAATACAAAGGTTCTTGGCCAATATTCACCAAGTGATAGTAGGTTTCCATCTCTTCTCAAGAAACAACAAGGCTACTTGCTCTCAATTTCAGATGTGGAAACAAGCTACTGAGGAAGAAAACTGAATATTGTGACTTGTGAGTAACATAGTAAGAGGAAAATGGATTTCCTTGCAATTAAACAAGTATTTTCTCTTCTAAAGATGAACCATGAAAGTACTGTCAAGCATTAAATATGATTGCAGAAGATCAGACATCAGTCAATTGAGAAAATGATTTTCTCACCAGTCCATGCAGGAGAAAATAAAAAGAAAATAAACAAAAAGAAGTAACAACAAAAATGGCAACGAAACCTATGGCCCGTCCAGCTATGGATTTGCTACCCTCACAATATGCATAAAATTCAGCTAAAGAAGGGTGACCCAATGCACAAGTTACCCACTATAGCGAGGTCTAGGGTGGGCAAGAAAAACACAGCCTTACCCTCATTTCTAGAGAGGAGGTTTCCGTAACTTGAACTTGCGCCACCAAGGACACTAATGACAAAGCTTATAGTTAAGCATGGGTAAATACAAAATAAGGTCATTGAAAGATATAACAAAGCAATTTCCTCTT